ATTGCACCAGAAAATGTTGAACCTTGGCGCATTTCATGAAATTTCTTGAGTTGCTCTTAGTTATTCTTGAATATCGCTACATGAGAATGAGAATCAATTTTCGAATTTACTTTTATCAGGGAAAAAGTTGAGATTGAATTGAGGTGGTAAAATGTTGAAAGAGAAATGAATTGTTGGTTGAATGGGCAAAGCAAACTCTTGCCTTTCATTCATCAATAACATTCACTTGAAACTCACAGGTTTAGTGATCGTTTTTTCGCTTCCACCATGATTTTATTAAACATTATTATTTTCAGTTTTCATGTTCATTCAATTCAACCAGGAAATTAAATAGGAAATTGATGATAGTCAACAGTGAAAGGTCGACGTTATTGTTATTAGTATTCTGGGAGCATTTTTTATTCCTCTTGTTGCTGTCTACTTCATGGTGAAAGTGCTTTATAAAAGAGAGTTACAATAGATTCACTGACAATACAAGTCTACATCAAGTGAAAAAGTGAAACGAGCAACGTTTTGAAACTTGAAACTGACTGAGAAATGAGTAAAAAGGTTGCATAAAATGGAAGAGAACCGTTGAAAGATATTAATGAATTAAAACATTTCATTTTAAACTTTTATTCAATGAGCAATGAAAAAGTAAAATGAATCGATCAAGAAAGATGAATGACTTTTAATAACACTGCAAACCTGGGCAAAGTTTCAATTTGTTTACCTTCGTCTGAACATGAGGAATGTTCAATGTTGTGATTAACTGTCTTGGAAAATCGAGCTTTTCTTTTCAGCAATTATGCTGCTTTTGAGAGCTAATACTAGAGCTAATAGAGTCAATGATCAAGTGCATATTAAACATGATTTATTTATGAACAAATCACTCATTGAGCTGATTAAAGGGTAAAGTTACACAAAACGTTATCATCGCATCTTCAGAAAGTATTATGTTATGTTAATGCCATTGCATATAAAAACCCTAAATAGCCAATTTGCGTCGAGTGAATGCGAATGTTGCAAAAATACTTTTTTAAGATTACTTCGGTTCAAGTTGGAGAAACACAGAATTAGGAACGCAATTCCATAAAGAAAAGACGTAATGAAATTGCAAAGTTGACCCTCAAAAATGATTCTGAGATGCTGCACAACAAAACTTGCATTTGTAATATTTGCTTGTTACTCTTTGCAGATTTGCTAGTTTTGCAGATGAACGAAAGGCTGTCAAGGTGAGTTGCGTCTAATAAGCTGATCTCGAAGTGATTTACTTTCAAAATGTACGCAAAGAGTTTAGAAAACTGTTGGAAGTGCAAAATGAATGAACGTGAATCCAGCTCTTCTTTGAGTTACTTGAATATTTTATTGTCTTTTGCAAGTTATTGTTCTTTGATGAACCAGCCTTTTATTTGCAGATATTGTGGTTCAAAATTTTGGTGAAAATGGAAATTCTTTCAGACCAGATCATCGTTTAATATTATTCCAATGCTCTTTAGATGAAAATTGGCAACTAAATAAAGCAAAATAACACTAAATGTGCTTTGCTCTGAGTTGGAACTTCATTTGCAGTTTCTATTGAAGTTGCAAAATGACCGGCCATTTGATTCTGCTGACTCGCAACTTCAACTTGAAAAATATCTCAAATGGCTTCAAAGCTGATTGAACAAGAAAACTGAATGAATACGGAAATAAATGTAAATGTTAATTGGTTAATTATTCAGTTTGGTTCATAGCTGACGGAAATAAAATAGCAGCAAACTTTTGCTCCAATTCATTTCAAGTGACAACATGCTTTGTCAACTTGAAATATCAGAGAAAAAAAGAGGAAGACAGAAAGAAAAAAGTTTGGAATCAAATGGAAATGAATAAGCAAATGAGAAGCAAAAAATCAGCTTCAACAATAAAATGAAACATTGGCTTCATTGATTGTGGGATGAAACAGTAGAGATGATAATCAGGTGCAAGAATGAAAAGGGAAAAACGGAAAGTTGAATAAAACAAGAAAAATAGAAGCAAATTGATTGATTGAAATTATCGAATGAAGAGAAGGAAAAAGTTGAAAATGAAGGGAAAATAAAGTGTTGATGAAGACTCATAAAGAAGAAGAGCAAAAGACACCGAATCCATTAGCGGTTGGAATTTAAATGATAACGTAATCGTCTGATCAAAGTTTTTCGCTCTTCAATTGTTCCTTGTTACGATTGTTGTTTCACTGCAAGTTGAGCTGTTATAAGGCTTGTTTGTGTTCCTCCTTATTTCTGTTCAATCTCTTTTCACGCCTTTTCTCATGTTGTTTGACAAAAACATACAAAGGAATAAATTACTTCTCCCTTTCATATCATCATCATTATCATGAGGAAACCTCTGGAAGCCTTCAATTGACCAACGAAAACAGAATGAAATTGAAAACAATTACCGGCTGAATAATGACATTTGTAGAGCGCAAAGTAGCCAGAGTGGGAGGTAATTGGAAAAAAAGGGTGAACAGAGAAAAACATTTGCCAGGATAAACAGTTTTCTGAGCAAATGATAATGAAAAGAAAATGAGAAGAGAAGAAAAATTCAAACTTTTCTCCAGTTCTCCCTTCGTTGTAAGCTGATTAACTTGAGTAACTTCAACAGTGAAAAATGAAGTATCAATCAGAGTTTAAGAGTTTAATGAAATAACCTTTTTGGTTGACCTGAAAGTTGAACAAAAAAATGAATTTCCATTTTTACTTTTCTCTACTTTGTCTGCTTATCGATTCAACTGGCTTCAAGTATAATGAATTGTCGAGTCAAGTTTTGTCCACAGAATTTATTGCAGAATTGAAAAGTTGACAGAAATTTTGCTTTTTTCTGCTTCTTCTTTCAATGAAACTTTTGAGCCTTTTAATTACAGTTAATCATTTTTGATGTTCAACTTTGCTTTCAAGTAATTTTGCTATTTATTGATTTCATGAGTTAAATTGGAGAGCATTTCAAGTCACTCAATTGTGCTTATATTGTTGAATGAAACAAGAAAAAAATGTCAACTTTTCGAGTTTTATAATTTAACAGAATGAAAGGTTTGCAGGATGAAAAAAGGAAAGGTTTATCTGGTGAAGTGTTAAGGGTATTTGAATTCAGATTTTCAGTGTTACATGTGAATTGATGGGAATTGGACAGAAGAAGGAAAAGAGGAGAAAAGAGGAAAACTGGCGAACTGGTGTACAAGGTGAGAAAAGGAAAGGAAAAGTTTTACTTTTTTTTGAAAAATATCTGAACAAGAATAATAAGATGGGAAAAGATTTCTTGTGAAATTGGAACAAAGATTTTTTTGCTTTTCTTTTTTCTCAACAATTCAATGGTCAACTATTAACGCAAGATTGAACGAGACAAAAGTATCACAGTGAGTAATGATAATGGTTACAAGTTTGTCTATTTTAAGCTTTTAATGAACCATGGAATAGTGTTGACCATTTTGATACTTTTAAGGACAATTACCGTTGATAAGTATCAGCCTTTTCAATAAACCAAATTCAATCCAATTGTTAGGCAGGTAATGAAATAAATGATAATTACTAAACAAGATTAATGAACCTATTTATGATCGACTTTTCTGCTCTTTTCAAGACTAAACTCAGTTCGATTTTTGCTTGTTTCGATCAAGTTTGAGTCGCCAGAAGTTCACAGCTTTTGACGATTCTTCCTTTCGAATGGCAAAAGTGTCTTCTATCTTATTATTTTAGCGCATTTTCTCATTTAGCGTTTCATTGCGCTTCAACTGCATCATTCGTTCAAAGTTATATTCCAATGTTTCAATCAAAATTTTGCTTTTTATAGTTAACATACTTTTGTCTTTCCCTATGGACCAAGAATGTGAACCTTGAAAATTGTAAGTCTAAATTGATTGCGGTGAGAAACTATCAATAATAAAAGAGAAAATAATTTCATTTTCCTTTTCATTAGAAGGAATCAAAACACATGATAAATTGAAACTGAGCAAACAAACAGAAATAGAAACTGAGAGGAAAAAAAAGGTTAGACAATTGTTGAAGGTAAGTGCCTTTCAGGACGGCTCAACCATCCAACCCAAATCATGTTTAAATATAATGGAGTTGTTGTCTTTCAACTGGGAGGATGAAAAACTCCTTAACGTATAAGTCATCTTATCTTCCATTTCATTTCTTCCCTTCTTCATACATGATCATTCTCATCACTTTCATCGTCTTTTTTACTCATTCTTCTCATTCTTTTTTCTTGCCTTCGCCATTCTCTTCTCAACTATCCACAATGAAATAGCTAAATAAAGAAGATGAAAAATTCTTTCTTCCAATTTTTCCATTCTTCTAAAGGAAATGATTAACCGTTTTCCTTCTATTCCAACTATACATGAATTTCTCATCTTTCTTTCACCCAAACATCCAAAACTTTTACCAATCAATGGATGTATTTATTTTCAATTGGTATTTATTGCAACTTTTCCATTGGCCAAGCATGTAGGAATCTGAAAATGGAAACAGAAGCAAAGGCACAAAAAAACTGATGATAAAAATGGTAAATCTTCATCAATAAGATGATGAGAAAAGAAGACGAAAAAAAGAAAGAAAAATTGTCATCTTTTTCCTTCTAAAATCTCGGTTAAACTGTAATCGATTTCCCATGTTTCCAGTTTTCCACCTTGACTCGATTCTTATCATTAACTTTTCATCCCTATCATTGACCAAATTCAATCAATTTACTCGTTAATATTTTAAGCTAATTATTAATAACCAAACTCAATTTCACCAAATCCAATCCAAACAACATTCAAAACCCAAATTGATAAACTCAATCAACGAAAACCATTATCGAATGAAAATGTTTCAAAATCAATTCCAAGAGCAACAAGAATCGAAACCATTCAAAGAATACAAAAGAAGCCAAAAACCGTTCAAAAACTTTCTTCAATAACAACACCGAGACGAAAAATTTCATTAGAATATCAATGAAATCTTTTCCTTTAAAAACTTCAAAATCCAAGTCGAGTCGACAAATAAATGAAAACTAAAACTTACCGTGTGATCCGTAATGTGTTTAATCCTGCACTTAAGAAACGTCGATTTACCTAATTGCGCAGTTACATTTTGATCTTCAGGTAAAGTGTCAAAGGCAGGTGGAAACAAACGACTATTGTAGTGAACTATTTGCTCAGCAGGTCTAGAAGGTGGTTCACTTCCGTGCTCAGGAAACTGTCGTTCACTTCGTTCGTTTGCATAAAAATCTGTAATCGAGAAGAAAAAGGTAAAGAGTAATTAAAAAGTTGGATTCAATTTCCATTTGAAAATCCCTGGAGCATTTCCATTCAACATAATTAACCCTTTAAATGACGATCAATTTACACACGCAACTTGATTGATATAAAGAAAGCAGTTATAAAATTGTAAATGCAAGTCGACTCGATGAATGGGTAAAGGAAACCCACAAGTTTACATGAATGTTTCAATTTAGCCTTTCTTATTGAACCCTTGCACTGGGAATGATACAAAATTTACCATTTCACTTGACTCCCTGATGAAACTAACCATGAATTATGTATACAGATATTTATGATGGTTTCCTTCTTTTCCTTCTGATGAACGTTGAAATAAAAGTTGAAATAAAGGAATGATAAAAAAAAGATATTGTCTCCAATGATAAAAACAATAAAAAAGATTCTTTTCCTCTTCATTCCCTGATAACATTTCTAATTGTTGAACCATTTTCTCATGTGATAACTGCCTATTTGGACCAACATTTTTATTGCTTTCAGCCCATCATTTCAAGTTTATTAAAACTCTTTTTTTTTAATGTTCAGACAAAAGAAAAGAAAAGAACGAAAAAAAATTGCCTTTTCTTTTGTTTCATCTTGTATAATTGGCTTCATGTTATTTTATGTTACTTTTATTTTTTTTGCCTCATTCCTTCATTTCCTTACAGAAAATGCCATTTTATCCTTTTCTTCATTTCCAAATATTAATAGCATTTAAGTGAACAGCAAAAGGCGATAAAATTGTCCCAAAAATACAGGTTCAGAATGGAAAAAGTCGAACAAAAAAGTAAACTCGAAAATGAGATAATTTTCCCTTTTACAACCCTTTATCGATTCGAAATGATTTTGAGAAAATTTTGAAGAAGAAAATGTTGGAAGAAATGTTCGAAAAGACATTTTAAAGTGATAAATGTAAATACATGTAAAGACATTCTTGTAATGTCCATTCGTAAGCCACCAAATTATCAATAAAATTTTGTTTATTTGTCAACTTTAATCTCGATATTTCTCCTTTTTCGATAAACTTTCACCTTTTCTCGAACTTTTCAAATGTTGGAATTTTGAGAAAAGAAGAATTTTGTCTCCGGAAAAGGATATATTACCTTGAGGTAATGAAATTATGACAATTTACATGTAAAAGTATAAGTTGCTTCAAGGTTTTTACGCCATCATTATCATTTCCCATGATTTGTTAGAAAGCATTTTCACTTGAATGTTGAATGAACGAACCGTGAAAAGAGAAAAGAATTGTTCTAACATTTTATTTCATTCAAAATAACACACAACTGTTTATCAAATGTCATTCATTGATGGGAAAAGTCGAGGAAAGAAGAAAAAAAGTGAACAAAAAATCAAATTTTGACAGATGATAATGTACTTTTGATAATGCATTTGAGCGAATTTCAATGAATTTCTTCGAATCTCGGAAATGAGCCAAATTTGCATCTTCATTGTTGAACTTGAAATTGACTTTTGACTAAGCAACTCAACTCAATCTAGGCGAGTTAATTTGATTGTCAACATGTTTATTTCCATGAAATTCATTCTATTCCATTAAACAAATGAAAATTTTGCTCATTTTCTGGAAACTATAGTTTTCTCTCAAAAAAAATATTGAATCTCTTTGACTCATTCTAGTCATTTCTGATTGTGATGATTAATCGAGTTGTTAGTGAACTTGGAATTAGAAAGTTTCCAAATTTTGAATCGATTTTTTCTTCTATCATTGAAGGAATGATTCCAAACTGTCTTTGGAAATTTATTGTCTCAATCTAAAGATTAAGAGTAAACGATATCAACTGCCGATTCCAGTCAATTTAATTTCGCTTCTAAACAGAACTGAAACAAAACATGAACAAATGAACTGTTGAATGATTAGTGTAATAAGAGTCAATATTGATGAAACATTCGAAAGAAATCATAACAAGAATTATCATGACTGAACTCAGTCTCTGAATAGATGAGAAATAATCTCATTATCAATGCTCAAATAGATTTTCCAAATAACTGCAACTTTCGAATCTTGAAAATATGATTTTCGATTAACATGGCAAAATGAATTTCTAATGTTGATTCAATGAAAGTCCAAAACGAGACTCAAAACTTTTCTTTTGCTTCCAGAATGACTTTTCTAAATCAGTCCAGCCATTCATAGCGACTAATGAGCTTTGAGGAATTTTCAAGTCTAAGAGTTCCAGAGTTTCGATTCCAAATTAAACTTTTATCGATCGTTTTTCTGGATGAAATCAATTACTAAGAATAGCCATGAAAAAATACTTTTAATCAAATCTATTGACACATTGTATAATTGAAAAGGTGCAAATATTTGTTCATTGATTCACCTTGAACACCATTACTGAACAACTTTTGCTATCTTAAGATTATTACGAATTATAAGTTTATTGGAAAAGTAGAGTTTCTGGTGAGTGTGCAGAAAGAGATGAGTTTACGATGAAAATGATGAGAAACGGAAAAAGTTTTTTCTTCTTACACAGATTTATTCTTGATTGATGACCTGGGATAAGCTTAGTAGGCATTCATTGTTCAGTTTTGGGATTTTGAGAGTTGAATGAGAAAAGCCAAATCGCAATGTTGACCTCAGTTAAGAGTGAAAATTGTTATCGCCTTTCTTTTGCTCAACTTTTCCCGATCAATCTTGAAACTTATATTCAAGTGTAAAAACCTTGTAAAGTGCAGATTAAACTGAAAGATGTTAAGCTTTGAAAATTGCGATTCAATTCAAGATTGAATAACACTTAGCAGCTTGGAAATGCTTTACAACTTTACTCCAGATTCAATCAAGATTAATTTACTCTTGAAAATATGGAAATGGAAATTTCGATTTCATTTTGTTCTAAGATTTAAAACTGCTTTCGTTCAAAGTGTAACTCTAATAATGAAAGGAATGAAAGAAACTGTGAGCCAATTGAGTATCAAATTGGATCAAATAGTGACTAAAGGAATTCGAGGAAAAGGTGAAATCTTCATAATCATCATATTCTTAAGTGATTTCAATTGATTTCCAAGATATTCATTGGAAGAAAAGTCTGAATGGAAATTTTTTCTTCTCACTATTTATCTGTTGTGAAGGGAATGAAATGTAAGTAAAATTTGTTGGATAATAAACAGAAGAAGAAAGTGAAACAAAACTTGAAAAGAATGAGCAAAATCTATTGAAATGTCAAAATTTACTTGAAAAACAATTTTCGTTCATCAATGTCTTTTCGTTGTTATTCAAGAAATGAAAAGCTTAACTCATTCCATCTCAACTCATTGTCTAGACAAACAATCTGACTCAACATTGGAATAACAAATGGAAACCTTTTCAAGCGCAAATAAGAGTTTCATCAGATTATCCAACAACCATTCACTTTTCAGTTGAAAATGAACTCACAGTCAACCTCAACTTTTCAACAAAATTAGCGTTACAATGATAACTCTAGCATACATAATAGCGTATCATTTTCACCTCGCCCACAAAGGAATAACTAAAACAAAATCCAATGATTAGAACAAAAAGAAAAGTCGAAATTCCCTTTAGAGAATCCAAAATTGAATGAGAAAATTCAAAAAGAAAATAAGATTTTATTGCAGTTGAAATATGAGAAATGGTCAATTCTCGCCTTCAAATTAATAGAGCATTTGAACGAAATGCAATTCATCTCTTCAAAACTCAACTCTAAAAGTTTGAGTTCTGTTCTTTGAGTAACTTCGTTAACTTCATTATGATGAATCGATTCGAGTTTAAGAGACTTTAAAGTCAGTTCATCTTAAAATCCAAAGTCATTTGCCAAAAGTAAAGTTCGATGTTTTGATATTTTTCGGGATTTTCCTGTTTTCGTTTCCAGAAGAACACTCTTTTGACGGAATTGATCGAAACAAATGTCTCCATTTGTTTGTTTTCCATCGTGTTTGATGAAGATTTGATGCGTCATTTTTTTCGTGTTTACTCGGAAGTTTTCATTATTTTTGAATGGAAATAGCAACGCTTTCAACATTGTAAATGCAAAAAATTGTTGGCGAATCACGCAAAAAATATTGACTCAACTTGCATGATTAACTTAACCTAAACCGTAGAGAATCATGTTTTTTGGTAAACTCTATTCAAGTTGAGCTGGTATAAAGTAAATAGTGAAAAGAGTAAAAAAAGTTTACAGCATTCCAATTTTGTCCTTTTCTTTTCCTGCTTTTGCCAATCTTCAAAACCAAACATTATTCAAACCCAAACTTTACGATTGGCAGAGAGTTTTGTTGTTAACCTTTCGTTTTACTTTTTGTTTCAAATGTTCTTCACAAGCGAATTGAACTTGAAATAAAAAATGTATCAGATTATAAATGATTTATTTTCATCTGGGAATGTAATGTTATACTTGAAAGTTTATCGTTTATTTGCCTTTACTGTGCAAGAGAAGAAACCAGAAGCAGAAAAGTAAGAATTTTCAATTCACTTTATTCATTACATGTTTAAACCAACAGACGCTCAGCCATTTTCAATTGCAATGCTTTTCATTTCAATATTAAATGATTACATTTCCATGCAAGTTCAACTCAAAATGAGCGATAAAATTTTCCAAAACTTGAATCATTAGTGAGCAAACTTGGCAGAAAAGAAACGCAAAAACTTGGTCAAAAAGATAATCAAATTCCACCTCTAGTCGAACCTTCAAAGAAAAATTCGAAACTTTTTTCCATGCAAAGCTTCAAAAGATTGAAAAAGCGACGAGAAAAAAGAACAAGAAAAAGTTGAAAAAGTGAAATATTAATTGGAAACTTTGCAAAGTAAAAAGTGAACAAAATTGGTTAAACTTTGAGCAAATCCTTTGATCATAAATTGATTATTCAAAGGTACAAAATCGAGTTTAGGGCAAACTAATTATTCGTGGGTTGCAATGGAATGATGTAAAAGTGAAGAAAATGAAATTTGACATTAAGTGTTCTTTTTTTATTCCGATAAACAAACATTTCCCAGTAGC